ATCCTGATACAAATGTAACAAAACTTACAATATCTCTGGCATCAGCTTATCCAAATCTATATTTTCCATTAGCTGAAACAGACTTTGGCATCAAAACAGCCCATTGATCCAGCGGAAGTAGGACCCACCTTTAATTCACCTTCAATGTGTGTCATCGTTTCCAATGCGGGTACCCTATGCTACTCAGCACTGGAACCTTCATTGACAGACACGAGGCAATCTTCAGACTCAACGCTGGACCTCCACAACCTCAAGCAGATGTAGGAGCAGGCACCAGTGCAAGAATCATTAACAATCAATTAAAGGCTGTGGACTTTGAGGATGACATAATACTACAGAGGAAACCTGGACATTGTTCAACTTGGCAAAAGACACAGCACCAGCTTGCAGACCGGGGGGTGGCATTTATACCATTCTCCCATCAACACAATGGACTGCATGGACATACTTACAAAAATGGGCTGCAGAGGAGATTCACCCACATCCACCAACTACAGGATTTCTCACCTTCTTCATTTTTCCCACTTCTGCCCGGTGGTGACACTTGTCCATTTCCTCATGTATGACAGACTGGGCATGTGTCACTACTGGCCTAATGGACGCTATGCAGCATGCTATATGGGATATTCGCATCCTATTGGTTGGGAAAAATGTCTTTTATTGCAACTTTCGCATGGACACGAAAGGGGAATTGTTCCCATTCGTGATGCTAATTAACTCTTCCAGTTTACCATGGAACTCGTCCCTGAGGCCCTACGCTGAAGAATAGGACCTCAAGGACTCAGGGGTGGACTGTGGTGAACACATATAAGGTTGTTGTTGTATTGATGGATTGTATTGATGGATTGTATTGTGTTAAAGTATGGAAAATTGTTGTAATAAGAATTATTAGCTAGTGTGTGTTAGGACTAAGAAACCAAGCCAGAGAATGACAGGCTGATATGCAAATGAGCCAACCCTAAGGTATTGAGGCTGATAACACTAACTACGAGGTCACCACCAAGGATAAAAACCCGAGCCTCGCTACCACTCATTGCTTGCCTCCCGAATGCTGGAGACCACGCTGTCAGAGCCCGTTTCAAAGCTCCGACGTAGAGGCAGCCACCACTTGAGAGTGACCCCCCTTCTCTCAATGACTGGGTATCACCGGTGAACCACGAGACCAGACCTGCAACTAAGATCAGCTGTAAGGATGCCCTGGAGCCCAGCTGGACTCCCCTTATCAGCTAAGAAGATGTCACATGGTGAGCGAGGCTTGGGGAAGGCCTGAGTAAGTTCCTGGCTGGCTGGGGTGGTAGAGGCCAGACCTGCAACTAAGATCAGCTGTAAGGATGCCCTGGAGCCCAGCTGGACTCCCCTTATCAGCTAAGAAGATGTCACATGGTGAGCGAGGCTTGGGGAAGGCCTGAGTAAGTTCCTGGCTGGCTGGGGTGGTAGAGGACAGGACATTAGGATCCGTGTGAGACTGCTGTGTGGATTTGTTTGAATAAAATCCTGTTCTCTGAAGTAAGAGTCTCCTGAGTACTGCTTACCCGTACTCAATTGGTAACGAACCGTAAGTGCTCACGACAAAGTAAGAAGGACATAGTCAGGTTTTGGAGTGGGAATATTTATTGAGAAACTCTTAGCCCCAGGTAGAGGGGCTTGAGTCTTTGTTTTGGTAAACTGAAGAGACTACCTATGTAAGCTACCGGTTCTTACTCTGAGAGAAAATTCCTCTGTGAAATTCCCATTTTCTGTTTTATCAGATGCCTAGGGTACAGCTGTAGGGTCTTGTTAAAGAGATTATCTGTGTAAACAGTCCCTAGCTCATGTTTATGGTATGGATTACTTGTGAATAAAGAAATCCTGGCACCACCAAGCCTGTAATCCTAGCTACTCAGGAGGCAGAGATCTGGAGGATCAAGGTTCGAGAAGCCAGCCCCTGGTAAGTAATTCGGGAGACCCTATTTTGAAAAACCCATCACACACACAAAAAAGGGCTGGTGCAGTGGCTCAAGTTGTAAGAGCGCCTGCTTAGCAAGCATGAGGCCCTGAGATCAAACCCCAGTACTGCCAAAAAAGGAGCAAGAGAAAGGATTAATCTTTAGATGAGTGGCTGACTTCAAAGCATCCTTGATATTCTCTGGCCTCTGGCTACTGCTGCCTATCAGGGAGATGGAAGTCCTTAAAATACAAGGTATCTAAGGCCCAGAAGGACACATCTGTACTGCTCAAGAACTTCTCTATCAGGGGCCCTGAGGGACAGCCAGTTGGTGGAAAGGAGCTCTGGGGAACTCTCTTGAAGCTGTGTCTACACTGACAAGCACACTGCTTTATCTAGGGCTCTGTATGTATTTGAAAGGGGTGTTCCGTGTCACAAAACTGTTAGCTTCTTGAGTACAAAAACTAGAGCTGATGCTTCTTTGCAGCCTTCTGGCACTCTGAACATTGTGTGTAGTGTGCTTCTATCTCTCCATTCTTCAAACAACCAGAGAAGTTAATTGATAAAATTTGATAATTATCCTCTTTGCAATTACATTGTCTGTAACCCAATCACTTTCCTGTCTGTTGGTCTAATATCTCTGATAAAACTGAAAGGTTTTTAAGGCAGGATTAGCATTGCATTCCTTGCCACTAATTCTCTTTCCAGACTTCTCTGTTCATTCTGCCCTATTTACAGAGGTACAGTCTCACTCATTCTTTAAAGAGAGCTTAGATCCTGGAGCGTCTTCTAACAAACAGAAAGAAGCAAATATTTTAATTTTGTGCCTTTGGTTCCAGGCACTGTTAATTCTTCACTCTTCTGATTCTCAGGATATCCTAAGATGTCATTCCAATAGCTAAAGGAGTAAAACTTGGATCCAAAGCTGTTTCCACTCTATGAGGGAAGGAATATCCATTAACTCTCTTGTAAGAAAATGGAAATTTCTAAAGCTAAACCACTCCTTCCCCTTTCTTTCCTTTTCCATGTACTTTTTAGGAGGGTAGAACTGGATAGCAAAGGGGTCATATTGTAAGGAGACAAATGTGAGGGGAAATAAAATGGCAGAAATGTCCCTGGGAACAAACAACAAAAATAGCCCTGGGAATGTAAAGGGAGGATGGCAGAAGTAACTTTGTTTTAGACAAAGGAGACAGGAAGGAATGCTTAAAAGCAAAACATTTAGGGAGAAACCAGATTCGCATGTAGGTGTGGAGGGACAGCAGTTTTTCTTCCTAGATAAGGGAGGCAAGATAAAACATTCCTAAAGGCAGACATCTAAAAGGATAAAATATGGACCTCTAAGAGGAGAATAACACAACAAGCTTTCCCAAGACAATGGGATAAAATATAGACCCCTGAAGGGAGTAATACAGCAAACCTTCCCAAGATAAACAAAAAGGGGTCTCACTGAAATGGTGAGCAGCAACCATAAAATGTACATGACAAGATGGACTAACGAGACCCTCTTGCAATGTCCAGCCTGATAAAGATGGGGGGCATCTAGATGGTCAGGCTTGGCCAGAAGTCCATTAGACAGTCAATTACAGCCGCAGTATCAGAAGTAGAGTAGGGAGGGATGCCTAAATTGGCCTCTATATAGTCTCATGAACTTCAGTTATTCCATGACTTAGCCCTTTGACTAAGTCCCACTTGTTAGGATGCTTTGTTATCCTTTCAATAAACTTCATGTTTGCTTTACTCTTAACTCCTGGTCTGTAGCATGAACTTGCTTTAATTCTCAACTGCTTGTCTGGTGCCTTCAATCATTGACTGTGCCAGGACAGGAACCCAGGGAACAACAATCCAGTCGGGTATCAATATATGTTATAGTAACAAAAGGCCCTATTTCTGCAAGTCTACACCTCCTGTAGGATTTTTCCTTATACCTCTACTGGACCCCTCCAATCAAAAGGCAAGAATGCTCTCCCCTTGTATAAAACAAAAATGAAAAAGGAAGTGGATTTTATTCAGGTTACTGCAATAGGGAGGGGTAGGGAACCACAGTATGGGATCAGTATCCTGGCAGGTTAGTTTGTCTTGGGCTTTTTTAATGGGGAAGGTGGGATGACTAATAGTTGTCATTATTTATTTTGATCAGAAGTAATTTCAGTCAGGCAAACAAAAATGTTTTATTTCTGTGTGTAGCTCATCTTAGTGGGTTCAAAGAGTTTGAGTCTCAGCTAATCAGTGTTGAGACCATGAACAGAATGTGAAGAGTCTGTGTGTGGCCTTTCAACAAGTTTCAGACAACAGGGGAAAGGGTCTTTGGCCTCATCACAAGTAAACTAGAGGATCATCTAAGTCATATGGAGAAGGATGGTTGAGGTGTGGTTCTATACAGTGAACAGTTCCAGGAACACAATAGGTGAGGAAGTTTTCTTAACCCTTCTGTTTTCAGAAGCAAGTAAAGTTCAATGTTATTTTTCCTCAGTTTTATCAAGGGATCTTTCAGTACTTACAATTGACCAAACAGGTGCTTAAGTGGGAAGTTAAGCAGTTATTTTATAATTTTTTTTTAAACGAAGCGAAGTGCCTTGTAAGTAGGCGTTTTTCTTCTTCTTTACAGAACTGAGGCTCTAACGAAGGGCCGTGAGCTTGCCAGGAGCCGCTTTACATCTCTCCTGTTACTAATGCATCTCTTCTGTTACTTGAACTACAAGTCCCAGATAGCAATGCGCCACTTCCTTCTCTGTCCAAGGGCGGGAATCAAGCGCCTCGTTGCATGACACCAACGATAGTTATTTGGCCAAGTGGTGGAAAATATAATTTTGGCGAGCCTTTATTTTTCATAAAGCTACTAAAATGCCCCCCAAAGAAGGAGCAGACACAGAACAAAGCAAGTAAAGTCAATTCCACGGAGAACAGTCTAAGCTACACCAGAGGAAGTACTTAACTGAAACCGTAGCACCGTGCTCGATTTCCCAGCAGTCTCCTTTCCGGCCGTATCTTGCGTCATTATCACTATATCTTCTCATTGGCTGGTTGACGGGTGACAACGCCTGCGCACTGCATTCCTTTGAGGGTCGTGGGCAGACGCCATTTTGGCCCCAGAGGTGCTTGTGGGAGGTGGAGCGCCGACCCGCACCCTTACATGCATACCCGCTACGGTCTTTTTATGCTGGGAATTCCAGGTCGAAGCGTTCGCTTTTGCTGGAGCTGCTTTCTTATTCTCCGCACCCTCCGGATTCCCCGGTCAGACGGGAGGTTCAGAGTTCCGGGCGGCGCCATCGAGGGTCACACCGTCAGGAAGGACGTGACGGGGGCGGCGCGGGGCGCGGACACTCCCCGCCGAGAGCCCGCCTGCCATGGACTCGGAGTATTATAGCGGAGACCAGTCAGGTGGGTTAGGGGCCGGGAGGACGGGACGGGGAGAGCGGGGCCCCTTAGACTTCCTTGGCCCCGGAGTGGACGTGGGCCGGGCGGGAAGAGGCGGGGAGCCCCTGCGGTTAAGTTAGAGCCCGGCGAGCGGCCGGCTTCCCATTCGGCCCCGGGGCTCCCTGAAATCGGGAAGCCACTTTCATATCTCAGGCACTCAACGTGTGCAGAGTGCTGGAGGTAGAAGAGGTTTTTCCGGTTAGGGAATTTTTTCCCCCCAGGAGTTGAGAGTTTTTCGAGAATCTAAAGAACTGTTGTTTGGGAGCCAGGGATCCTTTCATAGGGTTTGGGCAGTTTAATTTCGCCTGCAGCACTGGCTTCCCAGGAGGAGATGCAGGAGGCTTGTTTGAGTTGCATTGATGTTTTAGAGTAAGGAGTTGCGTCTCTGGCTCTCAGTGGTGACTCTCGTGCCTTTTCGTCTCCTCGAGATCTTTCCCTTTTTTGCTCGCCGAAGTTTGGTCTTCTTTCTTTCTTGTTTGTTCGTGTACTCTTGATGGATACAAAGATGAGTAAGGCAGTAACTGCGGGAGGCAGGTTACCTTCTCTTTTCCTCTGTGTCCAGGTTCCGTTGGGCCATTCCGAGGTGCCGGGGTTTATTTAATAAAGCATTAAGCTCTTTCCTCTATTGAGTTCACTCGGGTTCCCTGTATATCCCAGTAATGACCACAGACCCTTTCGTGAACATGTCCTGAGGTTTTACCTAAAACGTTCTCCCGGTGTTTTCAAAGTACTTTCTCAATTTGTGTTTAAATTTTTTTTAAGTAATATAATTCATAGATTGTGTTAAAAAGGATAACAGAAAATTAAGATAACAAAAAAGATAGCACTCCCCTAACAGCGCTTTCATTCTTTTAGCTGATTTTTTGGCATTAACCTCTCCGTACCTAACTTACACTGTTCCTTGTGCATCATTTTTTAGGTATTCTATAATGATTTCCTATTATACCAGGACAGTGTTTTGACCCTTTATGTGCCTGCTTCACCCATTGTCTCACTGTTGCAATGTAATTGTTAAATACCAAAACTTTTTTATTGTGATTATATAAATTTTATCCTTTTTGGTAAGTAACTCATTATTGTGGCAGTGATTCCATTCTCTCTGTCTCTCTGTCTCTCTCTCTGTGTGTGTGTATGCGCGCAATTCCTTTCTTATACAACTTTTTGTTTTTTCTGTAGTCAAGTGCCTCATTTAATTATTTTTAAACTTCTAACCAAGTCTTCCTATGTCTTCAAACAGAGCTATGATCCTCTCAAGACAGTTTTACGTTATATTTTTTAAAGTATCTGTTAAAGTTAGTTAGCAGTTCCTATTTACCATTCATTTAGTGATCTACTATGTGCATTGATGAGTTTTTACTATTTCTGGGCTGGGGCTCCTGTGGTTTTCATTCATAAACAGGTACTTTCTGTGTAAGACGGACCAGGCAATGTTCTGGGGTCCAGGGAGTCAGCAGTGACTCAAAAGACCCACAATAAACAAAACAACTTGGTAAATCAGGTACAGTAGAAGGTGGTAAGTTTTGTGGAGAGATAGACAATATAAAGTTGAAATAGTTAAAAAGCACACTATTATTTACAAGTCATTGACTTGGTATTTAGTGTTGTCTTTTAAGTTTCACATTCTTTTTATGAGGTCTTTTTTTTTTTTTTTTTTTTTTTGCTGCTACATATGCCACATTACATAGTAATGATTGCTGGTGTTCATATGAATATTGTTTCATTCAAACTATTAGCATCATTTGTTGTGCTTCGGTGGTAGTAACTTTTGCTCTTTCTTTATTCTTGATTTGGTGTGTTCATTTTAGCTGTAGATGTCCTCCATCTTACACCATAAGTGGGTTTTCGTTTTGTTTTTGAGCAGATGATGGTGGTGCTACCCCAGTACAGGATGAGCGAGATTCAGGGTCAGACGGTGAGGATGATATAAATGAGCAGCACTCCGGATCGGACACTGGAAGTGTAGACCGGCATTCAGAGGTATTGGCTAAACAATATCTTTGGGGAGGCTTTTCCTTGCATTTCTGTGTGGCTTGTTTTATTTAGGCATTGAAGAGACCTTTCCTCAGGGTTTTAGGCTTTCATCTCTAAGTAAATTTAGTAGAAAACTGTTTTAAGAATAAATAGGAATATTCTGGTTACTGATGACACCACAGAGAAATAAATTCTTCTGGGTCCAAGTTCATATATTAGGCAATTTTCAACTGAGCAGAACTATTCTGAAAATGAGCCAGGCCTTTGATATTGATTAGGTTTCTCCATCCCCAAATAATGGGGAAGTGAGCATTTGCAATCTGAGTTTCAGTTGAATTAGAAAGTTGGGGAGTCATCGCCAATGATTACACATGCACAGAAAATTGTCCAATTTTAAATAGTTTTAACAGAAGTTGACCTCTTCTTAAACTGTTACAGCGCATGTAATAGCAAAGCAAATGTAGTTTTAAAAGCTGTTTTTGTCTTAGTATACAGAGTCATATTGGATCTTGTGTAAATTTTAACATTGAGTCTAATACATAAATATTCTTTGAGCTACTTAATTTGCCTCCCTGGTTACACCATCTGTCCTGCACAGTGTTAACAAAATACAATTGGGACATTTTTTAGTAAGTAACATAAATCTTGGGTAGACACAAACTGAAACAAATAGGAATGATAAAGATGGACAGATTTTTCTAGGAACTTTATGTCCCGTGTATTTTTCTTGATTACACATGTACAGAAAATTGTCCAGTTTTAAGTAGGAGTTTAATTCTTAGAAATTGTTTGACTGTCATTATAGAGCCATTTCATTTTTGTATTTGTACATTCATGTCAGTATATTTATGGGTTAATTTTATTTATTGATCACTTGCTAGAGGTCAGGCTCTTTTTTAGGCGCTTTGGACCTATCAGTGACTAAAAGTCAAAATTCCTCTCAGATTTCTTTTCCGGTGAGAGGAAAAAGGCATTAAAACAATATACAGTTTTTAAAAAATCATCTAGTTTGTTAGAAGGTGACAAATGCTGGGACAAAAAAGAAAATTAGAACAGACTGAATGAAGATTGCCAGGATGGAGGGCAGGTTTCTGTATTAAATAAAGTGACATTTGAGAGGGGATAAAGGAGAATGGTGGAGATATATTGTAAGCACTTTTGTAAATGTCATAGTGTATGTCCAGTACAACAATAATATAAAAAAAAATGGAAATGGGGGAAAATGAGATTTGAGCCAAGGCAGGAAGGGAGGTGAGGAAATAGCCAGGTGAATATGTTTCTGTTGGGGAAGACTATTCCTGCCAAGGACCCCAAGTGGGAGTGTGTTTAAAAGTTTTTAAAGGAGCACCAGGAAGCCAGCATGGCTGGAGTGGAGTTAGTTAGGGACTGGGGAGGTCAGAGAGCAAAATACAGTGCAGAAATGCTCATCAGGTATTACGATGTCACTCTTAAGAAAGTGAGCTAAATTCTAGTATTTATTAATGGTAGGCAGGAGTTACTGACAATGTAAACATTATTGCAGTACATTTATCATGTAATTTGTGTTTCCACCTTGAAAATATTGTTAGGAAATTAATCCAGTGTCAGTTTAGCACCAGTTAGCATAGTCATCACAGAACCTTTGCTTCACTTGTAAGCATAATGTAGACTCACTTTTAAACATGCGCAATAAATGTTCGAGTGAAAAATTGGAAATTATGTAAGAAAATATCAGTATACTGCTATCACAGAAATGACTTAACCTTTTGACATTATTTCTCCTATAGTTTAATTCTCCTCCAGGCATACATTTTAAGGTACTTGAGGTTTTACTACATATGTTTTGTGTCCATATTATTTTTATCTCTTCACTTAAGATTATGCTGGATGGCCCTGAATCAAGGCCAGCAGTTTGCCAAAGCTGTTGGTTTCAAGCAGGAGCCTAAAGAAGTATCTTTCTATGGTCTGTTGGCCATTTTAGAACTTTGGAAATAGAATGGTCAATTCATTGGAAAGAAACATGTGGCTAGGCAAAAAAAAAAGAAGATTATGCCTTGAATATTTATTTTCCCATGTTGTTAAAGATAACTCCTAAGTGTAATTTTAGTGGTTTCACAGTATGGATGTGGCATCACTGTCATCCCGCTGTGTTCATGGGGATGGTTCTCGGACTCTTCCCCTCCTCCCTGCCAGCTGATAACAAAATTGGAAGATGTTGAAGTTCTTCATACCAAGTGGCATAAGGGATGTAGGGGTATAGCTCAGTGGGATAGAGTGTGTATTTGGCCTTGGGTTGGATCCTCAGCACTAAAATAATAAAGTTTAAAATGGCATGGTATGTGGATTTAACCTATGCACTTCCTCCTCTATACTTCTATCATTTCTAGATTACCTGCGATAGCTAATATAATCAAATTGCTGTTTGAATGGTGTGGTGCTGTACTGTTTAGGGAATGATGACAAGGAAAACACATTTTTTTCTAAGCCTTAATACATAGTCATATTAGTGACAGGGTAACATTTGTTTCTTCAAATATTTTCAATCAGAAGTCTATGGTTGTTGAGTGCTTATTCAATGATTCTATTTGTTGACATCTAGACAGTCAGAGATCTATTTTTGCTTTTTCTGACAGCAGTTATCTATTAAACTTCCTTGTTGCCCCTTGATTATGCTGTTGTTTTCAACAGTGCACTGGGGCATAATTTGCTCTGTAAACTAGTTGCCCCGAATTCTGGCTCCTTTGAAGGAATAGTTTCTGAGAACAGTGTCTGATAACATTCCAGCTGCAGGATGATTCCTCCCAGCTGTCGTAGACCCTCGTTCTGTCCTGCAAATTAGCTGGCCTACAGTTTAGCTTGCATCTATAATTTCTTCCCAAGTGCCTTCTTGCCACAATTTTTCCAAATCTGGTTGCAAATGAAGTCACTTTCTTTGATTTACGGTTTACATTTTCTCTAGGTAAAAATCTCTGAGCCAGGGCTCTGGAACTCATGGTGAGAACAATGGCAGGTCTCTCCCTGAATTGTACCCCAGGTGTAGAAATTGAGTTGTCAGTGGGAAGTGGGGATGAGGTGGTAGCTGCTGTCCTGGCATCTGAAATGCACTTCCACAACTGGTATCTGAGGACAGAATGTCCTCCTCTCTCTGGAAGAAGGGGAAAGACGGAGCCTTGTGTTTTTGGTTGTGGTAGCCTAGAGGAGGATCTCTGCCTTGCTGAACTAGCTGTGAGGTTAGAAGAAGGGACTGATCTTGGTTCAGATACCAGAGAGACTTTCCTCTTGCTAGAATTTTCATAGGTGTTTCTTCATTTGCTTTTTACCCTTAAGACCATTCCTAGAGGCCTTAAATGATTGTCTTTTAAGTCATTTGCCATTGGTTTCATTGGGGAGCAGGTTCACAGAACTTCTCATGTTATGGTGCCACCAGTCCTCATTTGGTTTCATTTTTACCTTTTACTTGTTGGCCAAGCTGTTCCATTTTCCTCCATTCAAATCCCAGAGGGACCCAGTATGTTTAGTCTGTCTCCACAATCACCATTGTGTACTTTGAGTTCTTTATTTTCTTGGATATCATGCCTTATTTATGGATGAGTCAGGTTTTCAGGTCCTGTCCATGGCTATTCGTGCATGGAGAGCAGCCTTGGCCTTGTGTTGCTGTCTTCTGATGAAGAAATTCTACCAGGTCAGCTCTGGGCATTTGGGTGCATGCCTGTATCATAAGGATGTTCAGCATGTTGGTTCCCCAGGTATTAAATGAGATGCTTGTAACACATCCTCCCCTGTCACTGACAACCAAAAATGGTCCCTCACATTCCTAAATGCCCCTTTGGGAGCAGTAGGTAGCTCTGATAAGCCCAAACTACTCTTCGGTTGAGGACACTGAAAAAGACAAATAAATGAGCATAAGAAAGGTAAACATAAGAATGACCGTACAGTTTTGAAACTGTTTTCAAAGACTATTTAGTAACATGGAAGAACTTGAAACTCGAGTTCTGTTTCAACAGAACTCAGGCCCAACCTCCTGAGATTCCATATGCCAGGTCTGGCCACTAGCCCCTAAAAGCCAAATAAAGAGCGACACAATGAGATTGAAAGGATATTTCTTGTACCAAAATGTAAATGGTGGTTGTCTTTGTGGTATGATAAGCATTTATCTTTTTTCCTGTGGTGCATGTTAATCTTTAAAATCAAAGGGAAAATAGTAAAGTAGAATAAACTGTGCCAACATTTTATAAGGTAACCCATTTTTATGAACATGTATCAAATGATTTAAAATGTACTAAAAAATTTAAAATTTAGAACCCTGTAAAAAACCCTTTCATGTAAAGATAAGCCTTTTTTTTTTTTTTTTTTGGTTGTAGGGATTGGATCCAGGGCCTCACACATGAGTAGATGCTCTACCACTGAGCTAGACCCCCAACACCTTCTTGTCTTTACTATATACTCCCTTACTAAAAAAATTGTAACATTTAGGTTTCATATTGTCTTAACAGATTTAAGTAGACATGGGTAAATGTAGTTTCTTAAATTGGAAGAAAGGTTTAGACTTCAGTATTTTCTTCGAAGACTTTTTGTTCCCACCTGATCTCAGTGCAGAAAGATAAGAGTTAGCATTTATATCTCTGTTCCCAACTTTGTCATACATCTTCTAAGTGAAGATAATTAAATCTTATACTGAGCTGGAAGTGGTGGTATACACCAGGAATCCCAGCTCTCAGGAGGGTGATGCAGGAAGATCATCAGTTCAAGGCCAACTTGGGCTACAATGTTTCCTAGGCATAGAAATACAAACTGGAAACTTTGGGATCTTTTTTGGTGATACATGGGTTTGAACTCAGGGCCTCAAGCTTGCTAGACAGGCGCTGTCACCACTTGTGCCGCTCCAAACCCTTTTTTGTGATGGGTTTTTTTAAGATAGGGTCTTGTGAACTATTTGCCTAAGCTGGCTTCGAACTCAGAATTTTCCCACCTTTTGTGCTATGGCACATAGAGAAGGCAAAAGACTTTAATAATCTTTTTGAGTAGGTATCATTGGATGTGCAACTTTTCAGTAAAGCAGTTTGAGCATCACATGGAAGGATGGCCCTAGAATGTAACAGTTATAACTAGTTGTCAGTTCTAAAGTTTTTTTGTTTCACTTTAACATTTTCGACAGCATGAAATTAGCTGTGTGGTTTTTGGTAGCTTCTCTTTCATGGAAAATATATTGAAGGAAATGTAACACCCATACATATACATATATATTCAAAAGCTATAGATTTTGTCTACTTAGAAAAATAGGGTACTCTTCTGAGAGTCCCATGGAAAAGCAATATATAGGACTTTTTAAGCAGATACTGTAAATATTGTACAACTGCTTTTTTCAGTTTTAAGAATCTCTGACTTCTGTGTGTTTGTGTCATAGCTGTAGTCCATAAGGAGTGTTATTACTGTTTGTGTGCTGAATAAACAAGATTGTTATGATGGGTGACTAGTAATTTATAACTATGTAACTATTGTAAATTATTGCTGAGAGGGAGGTATGAGGCATAGATTTCTAAAGCCTCTGGAGCCCTCAGGGTGCTCCATTTCTCTGATAATTTGAACCAGGGAATTCTTTCTCTCTTTTTTTCTTTGTTTAGGGCACTGGGGTTTGAACTCAGGGCCTCACACTTGCTAGGCAGGTGTTCTTACCACTTAAGCCATTCCACTACCCCTCTTTTGTGAGGACTTTTTCTAGATAGGGTCTCTCAAACTATTTGCCTGGGCTGGTTTCAAACAGTGATTCTCCTGAGTAGCTAGGATTATAGGTGGTGAGCCACTGCCACCTAGCAACCAGGAAATTTCTTACGTTATTAAGAAAAACTATATTTTAGGTTTGCAGTTTAATTGCTGAAAACAGAAGATTGTGAATGTTTTTGAGAACTTTTTTTTTTTTTTTTTTTTTTGGTGATAGAGTTTTGTGAACTATTTGCCTGAGCTGGCTTCCAACTGTGATCTTCCTGAGTAGCTAGGATTATAGATGGGAGCCATGGGTGCCTAGATGATAACTTGTATGTTTAATTTCTTAAAAGCTGTTCCCAAATTCTATAATGTCATTGCCTGTTTGTCCTCCTGCTGGAGCCTGTTCACCAGCACGTTTTTGTGTGTGATGCTGGGGCCTTGCACATGCTATGCAAGCAGCTCTACCACTGAGCTACAGCCCCAGTTTTGACCAGCACTCTCTTTTTTGGTGGTACTGGTGTTTGAACTCAGGACCTCACACTTGTTAGGCAGATGTTCTGTCACTTGTGCCACTCTGTCAGCTCTTTTTTGTTGGGTGTAGTTCTCAAGAACTATTTGCCCAAATTTGTATTGAACCACGTTCTTCCTGATACCTGCCTCCTAAGTAGTTAAGTTGTGAGCCACCTGTGCCTGGTGACTAGTACTTTCTTACTGCAGTAGTTTCTATGCTTTTTCCCCCCGTTATGCTCTACAAAATGGGTAAATATCCAGGTTTTTATACATCTCTTAAAACTTGATGGGAATTCATAAATTTTATAATTGTTATCACATGTAATGGTTACTTGTTTTGCAGTCTATATACCACATGTCCAGAAATCCAGGGTAGAGGGTGGGAGAGAAGCTCTGGGATGACTGCCCAGTTCATGGTGCCTACCTCGTTTGGGAGTGGCTCCCAAAGCTGTGATTCTACTTTGGCTGTACTGAATTAGTCATATCTGATATTACAATGGCCAATTAAGTCATATCTGGGGAATTTTAAATTGAGATTCTTGACACTGAAATTTAGCATGGTTAAAGTAACGTTATTGTTGGTACTCTAGTAAAAAGATTCTGTTGTTCTCTTTTCTAAGCTATCTGAACTGCCCTGATTCTTACCTGTTAGTTATTCCTAACTAACTATCACTTTGATTCTGGAAAGGTTGTTCTTTCTTCCGGACCTAGCCAGAGATGATTCCTATTTGCAGTGAAACTAGTCATCCATAAATATGGTATTAGAGTTAAATGATGGGCCTGTCTTGGAAAGTGATCCAAAAGCCTTTCAATCTTCCCTTTACCTCCTGCTGGTTCCTGTATCTTCCCTAGTCCCTGTTTTATTAACTTCTTTACTCAGTCATCACAAACTAAGTACAAAAATCCTATGGTCTACACACCTTTACAGTTCAGTTTCATATACATACATTTCCAGTAGGGCTTTTTTTGTTTGTTTGTTTAACTAGAGCTCAGGGCTAGGAAGGCATTCTACCACTTGAGCCATGCCTCCAGTCTAAGGTTTTTAAAATATCATATATCTACTTTCATAATTGTATATACAATGCTATTATGTATGTTTGGCTTCTCCTTAGACAGCAGCTCTAGACACTGAGAAACATTCTCAGCCTTGATTGCTGGCACCTTGCACATAGCAGGCATTAAATAAATGCTGATGAATCATTTATTACTCATTTTATATTGTCCCCACTTAATTATTCATTCAACAAATACTGTGAGTGAGAGAGTGTGTGTGTGCGCTGTAGACTATTCTGTGTTCTAGAGCTACCTCAGTGATGAAAACAAACCATAAAATACTTGCCTTCTTAGAACTTACAGTCTAGATAAATTTTTACCTATGTTCTTTTAAACTAGGAAAAATGGCTGAAGTAAAATTTAAGCATTATTTAGATTATTGTGTTATAATCACAAGATTTCTGTGTTCTCTCTCTGGTCTTACTGTCACAGTAGATAAATGCCAGTTTCACCGGGACAATAGATATGTGACAGGGAATTGAGTGCGGTGCTGAGAGACCAGTGAGAACTCAGAAATGCCTTTGGGTGTACACATGTATGGAATGTCATAATGAACCTTTTGTACAACTATTACTAATAAAAATGTTAAAAAATGTCCTTGGGGATTTTGAAAAGTTTATGATTTTGGAAACTTTCCTGAACATGTTATATTTTGATAAATACATACAGCAATTAGATTTTCTTTGCAATGCCATCATGATGGTAATAAAATATGGACACTTAGATTTTTGCTTTGTAGGCTTGCTTATTTTATAATTGAAGCTATATAAGCACAGCATACTTAGTCATTTTTTAGATGAGCCTAGGGAAGGCTGAAGCATCAGTTTGTGAAAACGTTTTTGTGCCATTTACCATTAGTTAGCTGTGTTATGAAATAGTTATTATTCCTTGCTTTACATTATCCCCACTGCCCATTGTCACATACACTCTTAAGAGACTCTTCGATCCTTAAAAATTGATCTGTGCTGAGTTCACGTAGCTTCAGTCTTATATTCTAAAGAGAAATGATTGGCCTAGTAGATTTCTAAGGAGGAGTACTCAAACAGAAATCTTTTCCTTGTTTTGGTGGGTGGAAGCAATACTGAGGATTGAACTCGGGGCCTTATTCTTGCTGGGCAGGCACTCTGCCACTTGAGCCATACCCCCTACCCATGGCCACTATGCTCCCGCCTAGCTGGCATTGCAGGTATGCACCATACACTAAGCTTGTTTGTTGAGATGAAGTCTCGCTAGCTTTTTGCCCAGGCTGATCGAGAATTCGTGATTCTTCTATCTCAGCATCCTTAGTGCTGGGATTGTAGGTGTGGACTGCCATGCTCAGCTTACTTTCACTTTTTAAACCACAATATTATTATTGAGAGTTGAAATTCTAGACAGTGTTCTAAATCTTAAAATGCTTGTTATTAATACTTTGATATATTTAATTTTATAATTTTTCTCTATTATGTAATATGTATCCATCAAGTTTGTACTCTTGAGCATGTTTTTAAGTTACATTGTGTGTTAGTTTAATTAGAGTAGACTGTTCTCCTTTAAAATAAACTTCTGTTCAAAATTACTAGATTTGTGACTATGACTCCTTTAGCCCTCATTTTATTTATTTTTCTTCCTTTCCCTTTCCTTGTCCCTCTTTTTTTGAGGCAGGGTCTATGTAGCCCAGGGTGGCTTCAAACTCATAATCATCCTGCCTCAGCCTCCTGAGTGCTGGGAATACAGGTATGCCCTGTTGTGCCTGGTTGAAGCCTGTTTTCTTTCCATGAGAAGTACTGTTGTGAGAAGGAAATGAACTGAAAGGAGAGCCATGCATGGTACTGACTCATAATAGGTGCTTAAGAAATTGTTGTTCAGATTCTCTCCTGTTTGTTTAGATTCTCATGGGAGAATGTATGTTATTTGACTCTTCAAGTAAAGTAAAGTTTTGAGTTTTTTTTACACCTAAACAATTTCAATCTTATAAAACCCAAGAACATGTCTTTGTAATAGAACTTGGCTACGTGTTTGGTGTATTTCTTTGAGAGAGAGATTCTTGGGCACTGGAACTTTTGGATTTTGTTTTTAAATCTCTTCAAAATTAGCCTCTTCCATATAAAAAGTCTGGGGCCATGCGTTACAGATTTTTTGTTGTTGTTGCTCTTTCCCCTTTTGGGGGTCCAAACCATGGTAAGCCATTTTCACAGATTGGCCTTAATTTAAAGTGGAATGTTTTACATAGGTATAGCACAAAAATTCTGCATATAAGTGCACATATTCCTATATTTAAAGAATTTTGAAAAATATTAACATTTCACTGCCAGATTTTTTTGCACGTTACTAATTCTTTTGTTTTTTCAGAATGAGCCTAGTGATGGAGACGATGGCCTGACCAAAAGACATCACACAACAGACTCAGAGAATGATGAGCCCTCCAATCTTAATGCTAGTGATTCTGAAAGTGAGGAGCTCCACAGGCCAAAGGACAGTGACTCCGAGTCTGAGGAGCGGGCAGAGCCTCCTGCAAGTGACTCTGAGAATGAGGATGTCAACCAGCATGGGAGTGACTCTGAGAGCGAGGAGACCAGGAAATTACCTGGGAGCGACTCTGAAAATGAGGAGCTTCTTAACGGGCATGCGAGTGACTCTGAAAACGAGGAGGTTAGAAAGCATGCTGCCAGTGATTCCGAGGTAGAAGAGCTCCAAAAGAGCCCTGCCAGTGATTCCGAAACGGAGGATGCTCAGAAACCTCAAGCTAGTGACTCTGAGAGTGAGGATCCCCCCAGGCCTCAGGCCAGTGACTCAGAAAATGAGGAGCCTCCTAAGCCTCAAATGAGTGATTCTGAAAGTGAGGAGCTGCCTAAACCTCGAATCAGTGACTCGGAAAGTGAGGACCCCCCGAGGCACCAGGCCAGTGACTCAGAGAATGAAGAGCTCCCCAAACCCCGTATCAGTGACTCAGAAAGTGAGGACCCTCCAAGGCACCAGGCCAGTGACTCAGAAAATGAGGAGCTTCCTAAGCCTCGAATTAGTGACTCAGAAAGTGAGGACCCTCCAAGGCACCAGGCCAGTGATTCTGAGAATGAGGAGCTCCCCAAACCCCAAGTCAGTGACTCTGAGAGCGAGGAGCCTCAGAAGGGTCCTGCTAGTGATTCAGAAGCTGAAGATGCCTCTAGACACAAACAGAGACCAGAATCAGATGATGATAGTGAAGGGGAGAATAAGGGAGAGGGTCCAGAAAAGCAGAATGAATCCTTTCATGCAGATAGCCACACAGACAGAAAACAGTTTCACAGCTCTGACAGTGAGGAAGAAGAACCCAAAAGGCAAAAAATGGGCAGTGATGAAGATGAAGAAAAAGAAGGCGAAGAGGAGAAAGTAGCAAAGCGAAAAGCTGCTGTGCTTTCTGATAGTGAAGATGAAGAGAAAGCATGTAAGAAATTATTTTTGGCCTGTAGCTCTCCTTACTGCCTAAGCTCATAACTGCAATGCTGTCCTTTTCTGTTCTGTTAAATCTGTATTCTGTCATCCTACTTGACACCCTAAAATATAATTAAGACACTGGTTTTCCTTGTTTATCAGTGCAGGGACAAGCATTGATAAGCTTAATATTAAATTTCCTTTGAGTTCTTAGCGGTACATATTTCTGCCTGCCTTGGGTAGTGAGCAAGACCAACAGTCAATAGCAATAAAAAAAGACTTAGATTTTCTTTTCTAGAAAGGGTAATGTTGCAAAGAAATAGGTTAACATGAAAACCCTTGACTATCCAGAGTTAGTTACTGGCAAGTTCACTAGATTCCGTCCAAGCAGCAACTGAGTTTCCACAGATACTTCTCTTCATTTGTTAAACGTTGTTGAGTACCCACATGCTCAATTCTATTTAGATAACCCCACATCTCTGAAGAGTATTCTACTCTTTGCTACCTGGGACCCCATTCTTATTTCTAGTAATAATTTTTACTAGATTACTTTTAAATGAAACTTACCTTTTTTTTTTTTTTTTTGGAAAAGACATGTTCCCTTACAGCCTGACAATTGTTATAGGAGAATGAAAAAAGAGTATTATACGTGTTACCAGTTTATTAAGAAAATAAGAAATTTCAAAAAGTGACCAGCAGAAAGAGCCAGTCCCATTTAGTTCTAATACTGGACAGAATAAAAAGGGTGTCAGTTTTGCCCATTAGGCTAACGTAATGGTAAAGAAGAGGTAGCTGTTGATGCCCACTTTATATTTGGTTCCCTTTTCCTAAGCAAAAGTAGATAACATGTAAGATGACTTCAAATGAGCCTTTTAGTTTTTGTTTGTTTCTGGTGCTGGGCTTCCTGCATGCTAGGCAAGCACTCTTACCACTGAGCTATACCCCAAACCAGTTTTTTGGTTTTGGGTTTTTAATCTTTTTAGTCATGTGTTAGGGAGTTCCTCTGGTTCACCCCTGATCCTCCTGTACTGACGTTTTAAAGCACCTTTTGGGCTGGAATGTAGTTCAGCGGTAGATCGCTTGCCTAGCATGCACGAAGCCCTGGGTTCAATCGCAGTACCAAAAAAGCACCTTTCATTGCCTAGTAATGCATTTAACAAAATAAATGAATGATGGTTTCCTTTTTCAGTAGCAGCAAAGAAAAGTCGAGTTGTCTCTGACGCCGATGACTCTGACAGTGATGTTGTATCAGACAAGTCAAGCAAAAGAGAGAAGATCGTAGCATCTGACAGTGAAGAAGAAGTGGGAAAAGAACAATTATCTGATAAGAAAAATGAAGAGAAGGATCTATTTGGGAGTGATAGTGAGTCAGGCAATGAAGAAGAGTAAGTAACAATATAATGGACATTTTCAAAGGTGTTTTTGTCTAGGGTTTAAACTCAGGGCCTCAGGCTTGCTAGGCAGGCGCTGTACTGCTTGAACCATGTCTCCGTCCCTTAAAGGTTCTTAAGGAAGAATTTGTCTTTCAATTTTTTAAAACTTGTATTAAGATTGCCTGGTAAGATACATTACTTAATTAATTGGGCTCTTAGGATTTTAGTTTGAACCACTGTTACACATACAACAACATGAATGAATCTCAGAAATAATCATAAGAAAGCCAAGAAAACATGCCATGACTCCATTTGCATGCAGTTAAGAATAGGCAGGGTTAACCTTTGGTGCTGGGAGTCAGTGGTATTTGCCTCTAGGATCTTGATGGAGGATTGACTAGAAGGAGCCATAAGGAACTTTCTGAGGCGATGGGATTGTTCTACGTCTTGATTAGGGTGCTGGCTACATGATTGTATACATTTGTTAAAGCCTAATGAAGTGGATACTTCAGAGCTGCACATTTTACTATGCATACATACATTATACCCTATTTTTAAAAATGGTTTGTGTGCAAATGAAAAAGCATCGAGTATTTTTATGTTTCTTTTCTAGAAACCTTATTGCAGATATATTTGGAGAATCTGGTGATGAAGAGGAAGAAGAATTTACAGTAAGTATAAGATGGGACTCTTTCATTTTTGACTTTTTTTTTTTTTGGTGACAGTACTAGGGATTGAACTCGGGGCTTTGTACTTGCTAAGCTGGCATTCTTACAACTTGAGCCACTCCACCTATGATTGCTTTGTTTTTATGGCAGCAGTTCTCTGTGATTCCAATAAGCAGGAATAAACAACCATAATGTATTCAGAAAAAAATCTAGACTCTAAAAGGGTGAAGTACAAAGGCATAAAATGAAAACAACAGGCAGAATTAAACTAAATGCTAAAGGAACACGTTAAGAGACAATGAAAGGTGCTGTGCTAAAGGATGGAGACACAGTGCTTATGGAACTTTTGACAAAAGCAATGGCAGTTTAGGTAATCTGAACTACTAACCTTTCTGGTGTGAACAGTTGGAAAAGCTTTTGAAAATCTGTTCATCCTCAGGAAGCCAGAGGACAGAAACCTAAAGAGGTAACTCAGCTTTTAGGACTGTGTTGTCTGTGGGTGTGCTTGCCTATGAGGCTAAGAGGCTGCTTATGTCTTGACAATCTTAAGGATTGGCTAAAAAATTTAAAGTTCAGCCTGCTAAGTTACAAGGCCCTTGAAAACCTTATGCTCTCAGTCTCTGAAATCCGATTATAATGGTTCAGGTTTTGGTACGTAGAAATAACATTAAAGGGAACAATGATAGCAAAGGACAATAGAAATAGATGTAAGGCTTCTAGATACAAGAATTTTAGATAATGCCTGAAGAAGTATATTCAGGTAGATTTAAAAAAAAAAAACATCAGAGAAAAAGAAAATTTAAAAGAAGGCAGTTTTAGAAAAGACCCAAGTAGACACTTCAGAACTATAAAACAGAAGATGAGTAAGGCATGGCCATGCATGCCTGTAATCCTAGCTCAGGAGACAGACAGGTGGATCACAGGTTCTAGGCAAGCTTGGGCAAAGTTAACAGGACCCTGTGTCAAAACAATAGCAAAAGGGTGGGGTGTGGTTCAAATGATAGAATACTTGCCTAGCTAGTAAAAGGCCCTCAGTTCAATTCCCCAGTACCACAAAAGGGAGGGGAAAAAAAATCATTGGATGAATTTAACAGCAAGTATAGTAAACTGACGGTAAATTAGAAATATCTAGAATGAAGCATTGAGGTTCTTTCAGAAAATGAAGAAAATAAAAGATGCAGATTGTACATGAGAAAGTTTAACATAATTAACTGGTATACAGAGGAGGAGGGACTACCTAGCAGAAATAGTAGTTCCAGAAATAATGCAGGTGAGCTGCCAGTGCCTGGCTGCATCTTTACTTTTTAAATGGAACCTTTTGATGAATAAAAGTTTTTGATTTTCATATGGATCAAATATCAATCTTTTCCTTATGGTGAAAGCTTTTTTAAATTCTTCCTAAGAAAGCCGGGCACCGGTGGCTCATGCCTTTAATCCTAGCTACTCAGGAGGCAGAGATTAGGAGGATCATGGTTCAGAGCTAGCCCAGGCAGATAGTTCGTGACACCCTATCTCAAAAAACCCTTCACAAAAATAGGGCTGGTGGAGTGGCTCAAGGTGAAGGCCCTGAGTTCAAGCCCCAGTACTGCAAAAAAAATCTTGCTGTTTTTGCCTATTGCCAAGGTCACATAGATTTTCTAGTAAGTTATCTTATAGAAAATTGATAACTTTATCTTTCACATTTAGTTATGCGATCTACCTAGAATTGTTTTCGTGTGGGGTATAAGGTAGAAGTCAAGTCCATCTCCTGCCCAAGACCTGGAGTATCCAGTTGGCCCACCAACACCTATTGGAAAGAGCACCTTTCCTACTATTCTGTAGAGCATCTCTGTCCTACGTCACGGTCTAGGTTTATTTTCCATTCTTTGTATTTACTGTCTCTTTATCTTTGCAGTATTCTTGCATTACTAGTGATAATTCACTATTTGTGTCCTCTACGCTTGTTATTCTTTAGCGCTGTTTTGGATCTTCTTGGTTCTTTGCATTTCCATATAAAGTGTAGGTAATATTTTCTGAATGGGGTGTAGTAAGACTAAATATCAGTAACAAAATTAACAAGAACTGGCACATTGGTTCAGGTGATAGAGTGTTTGCCTAGCAAGTGTTCAACCCCCGGTACCATAAATAAATGGAATGAATGAATACGCAAAACAACCTTGCCACTTAGAAATTTAAATATTCTTGGGTCACAAAAAGAAATCAGTACTTTTTTTTTTTTTTTTGCTAAGGCAAGAGATAATGAAAGACGAATTTAGAATTTAATTTAAAATGATAGAAAAATGACAAACCTGAGGAAAATAGTAAGAAAGAATTCCACCAGGCGTTGCCCTCAGGTAAGCACCTTATTACAGGAATAAGATGCCCTTATGTAGATCTAGTTTGGATTGATAAACATAGTTACAGTATTAGTTCCGGAAGGAAAACAACCATTTGAGAAGGCGTCTCTTAAGTATGACCCAAAAGCTACAAGCTATGAAGAAAAGAATGACCATTTCATTTATAAAAATGAAAGTAAAGTTGACAAACGTTAATTAGCATAAACAGATTCACACTGTACAAATATAACATTGTGCATTTAGGGCTGATTTTCTTAATTTTTAAAAGATTACATATACTAATAAAAAAGATGAGTAGCCCAACAAATGAATAGCATTGTCAGAGAAAGAATTACAAATGCCCAGGCTTACTCACAGTAAAAGGATGTAAATAAAGCCACAGAGATGGATTTTGCTTTTTGATTTGGAAATTAGCAGATGTTAATGCCTGGTAACCTATGGTAGTGAGAAACAAGTGTACTTATGTTTTGCTGGAAAGAAAGATGATTCGATTAAACCTCAGTGGAAGACAATTTGGCGAATACTTCTCAAATTTTCAGATATACATGGCAAGGTCAATAGTCAAATGTCTAAGCAAATTATGGTTATAGCTACCTGGTAAAATACTCTAAAGCCTTAAAAAGAATGAGGATACTTTATGCTGATAATGAGCAGAGTCTAGAGTCTTGTTAAAATTGGAAAGGGAAGAACAGATTTGGTTACTCACTGAATAGTATATACTTAAACTATAGGAGGTACTATATACTTATATAAATGTAGACTATTGCTAAAAAAAAAAAACAAACTAGTAATGGCAGTATCCCCGTTGATACCTATCTTTGTTCTTTGTGGGTATATTTTAAAATGCAAAAAAAAAAAAAAAAAAAAAAAAAAGCACTTATACAGAAGTAAATCTGTTAAAGAGGTTGTGATAACTGGTTCACTCACTGTACCTTCAGGGTTTTAACCAAGAAGATTTGGAAGAAGAAAAAAGTGAAACACAGGTCAAAGAAGCAGAAGATTCTGATTCTGATGATAACATAAAGAGAGGAAAACAGTAAGTTACCTTTTTTTTTTTTAAATAAGGAATTTGTTTAAAGAGAACTGAAAAAAACGAAGGTGAAACTATTGAACTTTTTTTTTCATTTTAGTTCCTAAATTTAGAAGGGAACTTGTTCCCATTTTTCTCCCTCTACCCCCTCTTTTTACGGTGATGTCAGTACTGTTATTTTCCTGTTATTTGTCCTGTGCTCAGGTATCTTAATTTATGGCTCACCAAGTAAACTTCTGAAAAACAATAAAAAAATATTTTTTGAGAGAAAAGTTTATTTTGTTGGGTAGGATGGATAATTCTAAAGTCTTTTTTTTTTTTTCAGTACTGGGGTTTGAATTCAGGGCATCACGCTTGCTAGGCAGGCACTTCACCAACCTAAAGTCTTAATAAAATATTGCTTAATTGTATTTCACTCACTTTTGGAAACTGTCTTGAAAAAAATCTAGTGCCTTAAAAGATGCCATACAAACATAGAATGGTTGGTTATTATTTATAGTTGTAAAGATGTGCATTAAAAAATTAGTTCCCTTTTAAATTCCTAGTGACGTGCAAGAATTAATCTGAGTGAGTTTAACAGAACATTTGGAAATTTGAATTTATATGAATAATAACAGTGAGTTGTCATTCCCCACCCCTCACCCCCTTTTTTATTTATTTATTTTTTTGAGATAGTATCTTACTACGTAGCCCAGGCTGACTTGGAACTCATGATCTTCTTGTCCTGGCCTCCTTAGTGTTGGGGATTACAGGTGTGTTGTGTTCCACCATGCCCAAATCTAACTCTCTTTCCTTTTTTTTTTTTTAATTTTTTTTCTTTCTTCTTTTTTCTTGGTACTGGTCTTTAGACTCAGAGCCTCACACCAAGCAGATGCTGTTACCACTAGAACCATGTTCCCAGCTCTAACTCCCTTTAAAAGAAAAAAGAAAACACTCTTTTAAGTGTAATGATTCTGATGAGCTTTTAAAAGTCTCAGGCTCTTGTATAGAGTTTTGTCTTTATCTCAGTCACGTTGTTTAGAGTTCTGCTTTTTTTTTTAAATTATTTTTTGGTACTACTGGGGTTTCAGCTCAGGACCTTATACTTGCTAGTCAGGCACTGCTAGCAAACCATACCCCCAGCTTGAGTTGTGCATCTTATCACTAAAAAGCAGAAGTTTATATTTTCATTTTTTTCTATTCATGCTATATAAGACAAAAGCCTTCAAGTAATTAAACACTATCCTCTTCCAAAACAGCTTGGGACTAAAGCTGAATGAGAGCTTGAAATGTTTCTTCCCTAGCTGGTAGGGGCAGGTGTGAATGTAGTATATGAAAAGTTAGTGAGTAATGTTTAACAGATGGGGGAGAACAGGAGTTGGACATAAAGTCTGGAATCAGCTGTTCTTTTAACAGTAAGTTCTAAACACTTGGACTTTTTAAAAAGTAACACTTCATCGAGTTAAAATTAAGCAATTTAGTCTTCTTGTAATAAAAGTAAGTGTGTAACTAAAAGAAGTTGTATCTCATGTATTGCTGCTTAGTATGGACTTTCTGTCGGATTTTGAGATGATGTTGCAGCGGAAAAAGAGCATGAGTGGCAAGCGCAGGCGCAATCGCGATGGTGGCACCTTTATTAGTGACGCAGATGATGTTGTGAGTGCCATGATTGTCAAGATGAATGAAGCTGCTGAGGTGAGATGGATCACTTCTTTTTCTTTGTTTTTTTGTTTTTTGGCAGTACTAGTGTTTTAACTCGGGCCCTCACACTTGTTAGGCAGGCACTCTACCTTGGGCCACTCCACCAATCCTGTTTTGTGTTTGGTATTTTCAAGATAAGGTCTCAGGAACTATTTGCCCAGGCTAGCTTTGAACACCGATTCTCCTGCCTGAGCTAGGCTGAGATGAGTCACTTTTAAGGTACCTCTTTTCCCCACCAAATTGATGGGAGTGGCTTTTAGTTTTTAATAGCCCTTAAACTACCTTAGAGATGTTTTCTGTGATAAAACATTTACTGCTCCGTATTTTAAACATGGAAATAATCTTTTTTTTTTTTTTTAAGTCATTTTGGGGAAAGTAAGGGAAAAGAGTATTAAGTAAAATGAACTTTTTTGGCAGTGCTGGGGTTTGAATTCAGGGTCTCCTACTTGCCGGGCAAGTGCTCTACCACTTGATCTGTGGCCCCAAGTCCTTTTGCTTTTAGTTTATCTGTGACAGGTTCTTGCACTTTTGTCTGGGCCAGGCTTGAACTACTTCCACTTCCCATTTAGCTGGGATTGCAGGTGCATGCCAGCAGGCTCAGATAAAATGAGCTTTTTTGGGTGCATAGCTTTCCTAGTTTTATGGAAGAATGGTGGGTGTAGTCTCAAGTCTGCTTAGTTTGCTCCCCAGGTTGATGTTTGCTCATATATATGGTCAGGTATTACTCTCTTGCCTCCCATCAAGAGACTGAATCTGACTCATTGTGTTTTAAAAACGTCCCAAATTGTCAAAAGTTGGCCAAGTGTTAGTTTAAAAAACCCAGGCTCTGGCCCAAAAGACCAAAAATCATATGTTCTCCCTCTTATGCAGACATTAGATCAAGGGCAGACACAACAAGGGGATTGGACTTTGATCACATGATAAAAGCGAGAGCACACAAGGGAGGTATGAGGATAGGTAAGACACCTAAAAAATTAGATAGCATTTGTTGCTCTCAATGCAGAGAAACTAAAGCAGATACCTTAAAAGCAACTGAGGCCAATAGGAGAAGGGGACCAGGAACTAGAGAAAAGGTTAGATCAAGAATTAACCTAGAAGGTAACACACATGCAAAGGAAATTAATGTGAGTCAACTCCCTCTATAGCTATCCTTATCTCAACTAGCAAAAACCCTTGTTCCTTCCTATTATGGCTTATACTCTCTCTTCAACAAAATTAGAGATAAGGGCAAAATAGTTTCTGCCAAGTATCGAGGGGGTTGGGGGGGAGAGAGGGGGTGGGGGAAGGGGGAGAAATGACCCAAACATTGTATGCACATATGAATACAAATAAATAAATAAAAAACACAGGCTTGATTTCCGGACACTTGATGAAGTGTTAGCGATTCAATGATCTTTGTCTGAAATATGTTTCAAAACAATTCACAGATGAAGGGAGAAATAGGCAAAGATACAGCTAACATAAGAGTGGCCTCTGATTGTTGAAATGTACATGACAGGTATTCTCTATTTGTAGAATTTGACATTTTTCATAATTAACAAATGGAAATTACCTATATAATTATTGAAACTATCATGTAAGTCTTATGTCTGGAAGATTGTTTCTGAAAATAAACCAGAATTTCAAGTTAAACTTGTGCCTCACAGTTTGTAAATTCTTTTTTTTTTTTTTTCAGTACAGAGGTTGAACTCAGGTCTGGTCCTACACCTTGAGCCACTCCATCGTTTTTAAGATAGGGTGTCGTGAACTGTTTGCTCAGGCTGACTTTGTGGTTCAAAGTCTGCCTTCTGAGTCACTAGGATTATAGTGTGAGGAAACAGTTTGTGACCTGAGCAAAAAGTGAGACCTTATCTCCAAAATAACTAAAACAAAAAGGGCTGGTGCCTGCCTAGCAAGCATAAGGCCCTGAGTTTAAAGTCCAGTATTGCCAAAAAAAAAAAAAAAAAAAAAGACAAACCACACAAAAAAATTTACATTAGTTATAATTTAGTATTAACAACTAGTACTACTTAAGTTTTTGAAAATCTTTTTTGTCTTTTTCTCTGTTTAGGAAGACAGACAGCTGAATAATCAGAAAAAGCCAGCACTGAAGAAATTAACCTTATTGCCTACTGTGGTTATGCACCTTAAGAAGTAAGTATTTTTGTTTGCTTGAAGTTTTCCCTTTTGATGGAATAATACTCACGCTATGTACTGATGTTCTAGGAATATTAAGTGATAGCTTTCTATCATATTACAGAAAAACAGTAAAATTTCCTAAAATTGTATTTCTTCATAAAATTTTCTTAAACCTTGATGCCTAATGCAAACAGAACAAATAAGAAACTGATATTTTTGAAAGAAAAACTGGAAACTACTAGTTTTATTCTTCAGACAGTTGGGGTCTGATAAAATTGCATCTCATTCCCCAATGTGATTGAAAACAGCAAATCTTGAGAGGCTTCTTGAAACACACATTGTATAAGACATATGCGGGCGGCCCTGTACATTACAATCACTGTGATTGTGATTGTAATGGTGCCATACTTATTAGATCCTTGTTAGAAATTGTTTTATTGGTTTGCTCATATTCAAGAGCAACTTTACTTCTCTTTTCTAACATAATTCCATTACAGAAAATGGAGTTTAAATATCAGTATTTTATTGATCTTTTTCTGCCAGAAGAACTGTATTCTCTTTGGTTTCCTTTAAAGAATAGCACAATTCTGTGACGTCTTTACTACCTGAAACTGTCTCTGAATCGCTATGCTAATAGATTGATACTATTTTTTAGTTGTAATAATTGGACCTCATTTTCTTACTCATATTGGCATTAATCTATCTTGCATAATTTGAGTTCTGTTTTGGTTTTAGCAAATCACCTTTGTTCATCAAGTCTACATTTTTGAAAAATAGAAGCTAGATTTCATATAGCTTTTGAAGCCAGAGTAGGGGCCCAGTGAATATTGAATGTGTATGAGTAATTCTTGAAAAATGGTTTTTGGAAACACTTGTAAGAAAAGTTAGAGGGAGATAAAGTAGAAGTAAAGTCATAGACTTGACTTTTATTATTGCAGGCAGGACCTTAAAGAAACATTTATTGACAGTGGTGTGATGTCTGCCATCAAAGAATGGCTCTCACCTCTTCCAGATAGGAGTTTGCCAGCACTAAAGATTCGGGAGGAGCTGCTGAAGATTCTGCAAGAGGTTAGTAGCAGATAATCTGTTCTTCACTAATTATCTAATGTGGTTTGTATTGTCAGGACCTTTATTTTTACCATGTGTTTATACATTTGCTCTGCTACAGCGAGCCTGACTTTTCAAGTTGAATAAAAGGAACATACCCATGAAATGAGCATAAAAGGAAAGACCTTATAATACTTCATGTATGAGCCAGGTGCTGGTGGCTCACACCTGTAATCCTAGCTACTCAGGAGGTAGAGATCAGGAGTATCGTGGTCAAAGCCATCTAGGGAAATAGTTCTCGAGGCCCCATCTTGAAAAATTCTTTACCAAAAAGAAAAAGGGGAGGGGAGCTGGTGGAATCGCTCAAGGTGTAGGCCCTGAGTTCAAACCCCAGCACCACAAAAAAAAATTTTTTTTTAATTTTTTTCATGTAGATACAGTATTGAAGGAAAGCAGTCTTGGAATTGGAGTAGCTGTTATGTGTCTGAGAACACTAGTTCTCTCAGAGAGACACTTGAAGTAGAAAGTACATAGAGTGTACTTGCATTAGAATTTTGAGCTGGACCCTCCTTCTATGGTTGGGATACCTTGGGTGAGCTATTTAACTTCTGAAGGAATTCCCAAGAAATCTATGTGCCAATCACTTTGCTAGGTGCTTTGTATATATATTGGTACATCTGTTCCTCACAGTAAACCTATAAGGTAGGTGTATATTGTCTTTATTTTACAGATGAGAAAATTAAAACAGAAGTTAAATGATTTGTCCAAGGTCATATAGCTAGCAGGTAGCTGTGCTTGGGTTCTGTCTTAGGTCTGTTGGTTTCTTAGGCCCCGGGCTGACTCCTGTACTAAACTGCTGACCTCTAAGTATGTTTAGTTTTACTTCTACTCAGTGATAACATATAACTCAACTTTTGATATAAGTAGGGTCTGCATATTCCATATCTGTAGATCCTGAAAATGGAATTTTATGTTCATTCTAATATGAATGAACTAGATCTTGAAGGTCCTTTAGAATAGATTAGTAAGTTTCCCAGCTTCTGAGTGATTAATGTATGTGTATTGTTTGTGTTCCCCAGCTACCTAGTGTGAGCCAGGAGACCCTGAAACATAGTGGGATTGGACGAGCAGTGATGTATCTCTATAAACACCCCAAGGAATCAAGGTCCAACAAGGATATGGCAGGGAAATTAATCAGTATGTAAACTACGCTTTTTTGTTTGTTGTGTTTATGTCTACATATAGAAAGATATGTATATAAAAGCTAACTATTTTTACCAATATTTATTTAAAATGATTTAGTAAAGTGGAATAGAAAATTTTTAGTAACTTCTTGTAGCTGCCAGCTTTTTTCTCTTAAAGTGCTTCTCAGCATATTTAAGTATGTTTCCTTATATTAAATATAGCAAGTGAAAGCATGCATTTTCTAGTCATGGACCAAGAGCTTGGAGAAGGGTAGAATGCAGGACCTGGAGTTAGCCATACGTGGTTCACCTTATGGCTCCACCTTGACTTTCCTGCTGCATATGCTTAGCTAGTGATTTAGCCTCCAAACTTGGTGGTCTAATCTGCAAAGCTGAAATAATTATATATTTTCTTTGTGTTACTCTAAAGATTTAAGTGAGAAGATGTGTAGAAAGCTCAGTTCCCACCACATAGTAAGTAGTAATTAAGAAATTATCCACTACTTTTTCCATGTTCCTATTTAATAATGCCAAAAAAATCCAGATTCTAACAGAAACACATATAATAAAGCATCATAATGTTTATAAAGTCCTTCAGTTTAAGGATAAAGTCTATTTTCATTATCCTTCTTAATTCTTCCTGTATTCTGCATTGGAAAGGAATTTACTTCTGGGTTTGGATACAGTAGATTTTGTTGTTGTTGGATTTTAAAGATAAAAGTTCTTAGAGAAATTTAAATTTCTTTTATAAACCAGAGACATTATCAATTTTGGGCTATAATTTACTGTATTGAATGATAAACTTTTGATTGCTTTTAAGCCATTGCTTTTAACTCTCAAGGCTGGAAGAAGCAGAATATTCCTTCTAGTATCCATGACTGACTTCAACAGTGATTCTGAGTGCAGAGGTGGGGTTGGTGGGGTGGTTTTAGAAGGTGATGTAGACCCCCTGAGAATATTTGCTTCATTCTTAGTGTGACAACATGTATTTTCTGTAATGTAAAGGTCCTTTTTCATTTTCATAGTGTTTTTTTCATTTGTTTTAGTTTGGGGTTTTTTGACAACACTGGAGACTGAACTCAAGGCCTCCCATTTGCTAGGCAAGCTTTCTACCACTTGAGCCATGCCCTCTACCCTTTGTAGTATAAATGCAGCAATAAGCATCACTGTGTTTCAGAACAAAAACTCCAGTCAGCACCTCTGGACACTGACTGACTGAACAGTGAGTGCTTACTCAGTAGGTTACTTGAGCAGCTTTATTAGACTTAAACAGGTATAGACTTAAAATGTAGTATTGCAAGACTTAGACCATTTTGACAACTAATAAGAGCCTGTTTTTGGTCAGATTAAGAATACTAGAATAGGATGTGAGGGCGATCTGGCTGCGACATCTGTCACCCCATTGATCGCCAGGGTTGATTCGGCTGATCTGGCTGGCTAGGCAGGTGTCCCCTTCCTTCCTCACCGCTCCATGTGCATCCCTCCCGAAGCTGCGCGCTCGGTCAAAGAGGACGACCATCCCCAATAGAGGAGAACCGTTCTTCGGTCAAGGGTATACGAGTAGCTGCGCTCCCCTGCTAGAACCTCCAAACAAGCTCTCAAGAATACTAGGATAACTAAAGATTTTCTACTTTCAGTACAGAAACTTTGAAATTAGGCTGCCTTTTAAAAATAAATAAAACTGTCTTTATAAATAGAAAATTGTCTTTATGAAATGTCAACCTAGCTAGTTTATGATTATCACAGTGGGTCAGTTCTTTCTTTCAGTCTCTCTGGTGATTAGTGGTTTGATAGGTCTTTTGGTTTTGGATATAGGTTCTCGGTATGTAGCTCAGACTGCCTTTTTACTTGCTATGTAGTCCATGCTGTCCTCAAACTTGCATTCCTCCTGTCTCCTCCTCCCAAGTGTTGGGATTACATTCTGTGTCACTATTCCCAGCTTGACAGATTTTTTTTTTTAATTAAAATGGTTTTATTAGGATATATTTGTTTTACAGGGTGGGGGGATTCATAGAGATAGTTCCGATTAGGCTTATGTTGTACATTGGTTAATTCACCCCCATCCTTTCTCCCCCTCAACCTCCTCCCTACCCCATTTAAAAAGCAATTACAAGAGGTTTCTTTGTTCTGTTTCATATAAATATATGAAGTCCATCATGCATATACCCTCACCTTAATCTCCTTCATTCACCCTCCTCCATTCTATTCTCCCCCTCCCTGCCTGACATACACTGTACCTATTTTACATTGGCAGATCTTTTTACACTATTTTCCTAAGTCAACTAGAGTTAGTTGTGATGCTGGTATCATGCTGTGTTTATCCTATAAATGGTGCTGAAATAATGGAATCAGTAACAAAAAATATTCTAAAGGCATAGAGCATTGCATTGTATTAGGGTGTGATTATTTGAAAGCCTGTTAGGAGAAAATGCTAGTTTGTAGACTAAATAATTGTTTTTTGTTTTTTTTTTATAGATGAGTGGTCTCGGCCTATATTTGGTCTTACCTCAAACTACAAAGGAATGACAAGAGAAGAAAGAGAGCAGAGAGATCTAGAACAAATGCCTCAAAGACGAAGAATGAGCAGGTATGAGGGAACAGGTATGAATAAGTGGAGTAATAGTTATTGTTGCCAACTGGTGGTCAGACACCGAGAAGAGACCTGGAGAAGGTGTTGACAGGAGAGGAAAAGTAAGGGGTTTTGTGTTAAGCTTTCTTAGAATATGTAAGGATTTTTGTTTGCTACTTTGTTTTAGGAAAAATAGTGAATGAAATGATACGCTAATGTGCTCAGGAGGTGATTTTCACTTTAACATGTATTGAATGTCTACAACGCATTGTGTTGGGTGCTGTGGAATATTAACAAAATAGTTCATGCAATAAAGATTTTGATGCTGCTTAGTTAGTGCTAGACTCCCTTGTGAAGCTTTGAGAGTACAAAAGCAAGTTGAAAATCATCAGTGCTCTCAAAAAGTGTTAAGTCCGTAGAGGGATGGTAGGTTGAGATGAGTGAAATTATCTGAATGTGGGCTCTGTTGTGGCTAAGTACATAAATAGCATGCACTTCCTTTCTCTTTCTCAGGGCTCTTAGACCTGGAGATCCTGGATTCTGTGCCCGTGCAAGGGTCCCAATGCCATCAAACAAAGACTATGTTGTCAGGCCCAAGTGGAATGTGGAAATGGAGTCATCCAGGGTAAGCAAGCAGGGGATGAGCAGAGTGGATCTCAGATGCAGATGAACATTTGATTTTTTTTCCTTGTAGCAGTTAAGGTTTATCTGATTCACAGAGATCTGTTTTCTGGTTTCTTACTAGCCAAATCACAAGTCAAGCAGTCAAGGAAAGAAAAGTATTACCCAAGACCAAAGCTCATTGCTAATGAACTTTTCTTCAGACTTAGTGACACTGTCAAATCAAAAAGTGTCTTATTAATAATTCTTCTATTTCAAGTGAATCTTGAAGCCTAGAGTGTTCTGGTACAGTGATTTATTAATTTTTTAAGGACCCTGAGAAACAGAATTTACCTGCTTCTGCTTATCGCCCCCTCCCTTTGTCTTAACTGTTTAAGCATTTCTGTTGTGAAATCATCAGAGTAGACACTTCTGTCACAATTATAGCTGTTTCTCAAACACTACTACTCCGTAATGCTTTTTAATTCTCCAATCAAACCACTCTTTCTAGCCTGGCATTCTTAAAAAGGGCCTAAACCGATTGGAAAAGCATAAAAGACGATTTGCAGAACAGAAGCGACTGAGCAAAGTGCATCGTGCTGTCAAATTCAGTATTGAAGGCAACAGGATGCCCTTGTAGGCCTGGTTCTACTGGAGTATATCTGAGAGGTATCTCTAAGGAAGCATGGGCTGTGCATGGGCTTGAATTGTCAGCAGAGTGAAAACAAGTGTGTGGATGCTTTCTTAACCAGAAAAGGCCAGATCTGCCCTTCTGAAATAATGACCCTGGCAGGCATCCTGGGACATTCCATACCTTTTGAGTCTTTAGAAGTTGATGTGGCAGTCCCTTCCTTTTTCAGTACCCTAGAGACTTGTAGATCATTATTTCCCTGATAGGCATTTTGTTTTTCTTTTACTGGTACCCATTTTATGAAAAAAAACTTCTGTTAGGGCCCAGAATCATAGTGGGCTGTATTACAGGCATATAAACTGGTTAGTGACTTCTTAGTGGAAGGGAGATACCTTAGTAGCTTTATTACAAAAGCCTTACACAGAATATTTAGGAGAGATGTATTTGATTAATCGATACTCAGTACATGGTCAGAAGTGAAAAAGACTTGACCTGCTTTGAGATGAGGTACACATAGAATGAACTCAGAGTTTGTGTCATCTGCCTTTTGTGCTTCTCTCTGATCTCTCCATAGATTCCACTCACTTTGCTCCTGCTTCACTCTACTACTAAGAACTGTCAAGACAAAGCACACTGTCTTACTTATTTACTGAAAATACATAAAAGCCAAAGGAGGATTAGTTCCATGCCAAGGACTTCTTACTTTAGCTGTACTTCCTTTTTTAACCTTCTTTTCCTCTCCCGTCTTTTCTCACTGTCTCTTCCTTCTGTTTAGCCATCTCATTCATAATATTTCCTTCTCCAGTACTTTAAATTTTGATATTTGGAGACTACAGTATGATCAAGAAAATGTAATAAAACTCTCAGTGCCAGTCTGCTTTGGAAACATCCTACCTTGTGTTTTGAGGGGCCGCATGCCTATCTGCTGGCTCTTGGAGGCTCTGCTTCCACCCCCTGTCCCTCTTTACCCCCCTGTAAGTAGAGGCAGTGGAGAGCCACCTGATCTGTGGCTAGAGTGTGAGGAGAGAGTGATGCTCTTTGCTGCGTTCTCAATGATCCACAGTCATAATATACTGGTGTTGTCTAGGCTGCGTATATAAATTTGGTCATTTCCCTCATTAAACTACCTCATAGGTTTATCATTTTTTAATGGCTGCATTTTTGTGATCATTATGTAAATATGTAATTTATTCCTTCCTCTGTGGTTTCTGATTTTCACTCTTAAATAATGCAGTGACTTGTATTATGCTGTATTGTTTGTCTATTTAATAGAGTGCTTTTTAAAAATAACACTTAAAATGGCAGAAGCAATGCATGTTTTTATATAAACTTACTAAAATACAGAAAACAAAATTAATGTAACCTGCAATCTCACTGCAACTTAATTTAATATTAACATTTTGGGTTATTTCTTTTTGGTCCTTTTCATGTGCATGCATAAACGTTACTACTGTTGTGTGTTTTGATTTTTTTTTTTAAAAACAAAATTTTCAAGCAACAATGTGATCATACTCTTTTATACGTTACCGGGTTTGTTGGTTTATTTTTTACTTAACGTTACTTGCCCAAACATTCTTCAGTGGTTTAACAGTGTTAAACTACTGTGCCCTTCCTCCCCCTCTGCCCCCAGCAAACCCAGCTTGCTAGTCTTTTAAGCTACTGGGGGTTTTTTTGTTTGTTTTATTTGCAGTATTGAGGATTGCACCCAGGGACTCATGCACATTAGGCAAGTGCTCTACCTCATGAGTCATGCCCCAGCCCATTCGTTTGTATTTTGTTTCTAAGATAGGGTCTGGCTGACATGGCCTGGGTTGACCTCGAATTTGCGATCTTCGTGCCTCCGCTTTCTGAATAGCGGGGATTGCAGACATATGCCACCATGCCCAGCTTATTTTTGTGGTTGTTTTTTGGTTGGCTTATTGTTTTTGGGTTTTTTTTTTTTTTTTTTTTTTTCCTTTGATAAAACAGTTCAGAATAAACTTGTAATGTCCTAGGAAGTGTGAATTAGGAAGGGAGATTATTTATTGGCTTTGGCATGTTAGGTATTGTTGGTCTGTGCTTGGAGTTTGGGTGAGTAAGCATCTGCCAGCCACATACATGTCGTGGCTAGTGGTAGATTGGTACTAACCAATCAGGATGTGTCCTTGATGCTGAGGCCAAACAAATCCATCAGGGCTCAGACACAAGGTCCTGGGAGTGCGCAAAAAGATGTAGTCCAGCTTAGTGTGTGGAGCTGCTGGGAGTTGGGTAGTTGTCAGAGATCTGAGCAAGTAAGGCTTTCATGTGACCTGACAAGATCTTAACTACTAAAATGAGGGCTTGTGGTCTGAAAGGAAATCAGACATTTGCGGTGAGTCAGGAAGTTTGAGTGATAATGTGGCATAGCTCTTTCTGACCGTGAATTTGTATGCTAACTCAGTGTTAGTGCCAAGTATTGAAATTGACAAGAGAATAATATTTGGAATTGGGATCTTGCTAGAAAATTGAGGATGGTTGATCAGCATGGCCAAGACATGTTCAAGAATGTCTTAGAGAGTTTATTCCTTGCCTAGTGCTCAGCTGACTTCATAATTGGGGGCGAGGCAAAGTCTAGAGGTTGCCTAAGACTTGGAAGGCTCCTGAACTCAAAATTTCAGCATATGTCACTGCCCCAGAGAGTATCCAGTGCCATCTTATTGAGCATTCATTTGAATTGTGCTTCACAGGTGATTCAGTAGTAAACATCTGGGGAGAAGATGGGTATGTCAGGTGGTCATCCCCACATTTGGTCTTTGAAGGAAAAAGCATACAGACAAATGTAATGTAAATGGTGCAATTGGGAGGATTTTGGTCTCAGTATTTCCCCTTCTCATCTAGATTTCCGTGGACTGCAGCAAAATTAAAAATAAGACATAAACAACAACAAATCAGTCATTGAAAGAATGTAATAGGTGTTTCTAACACTGCTGTGTATACTTGCTCTGTTCCCTGAGGTTACCAAAGCATATTCTAGTTATTTTAGAGCTGGGAGTTCTTCTGATGCTTACTTTCAGATACAAGATGAAAGACAAAAACTAGATACGTGCATTTCAATAATTTGCTCTTTAACTTTTTCCCCACTCTAGTTTCAGGCATCCTCCAAGAAAGGTATCAGTCGACTGGATAAACAGATGAGAAAATTCACAGATATCAGGAAAAAAAGCAGATCTGCACATGCAGTGAAAATCAGCATCGAGGGCAATAAAATGCCATTGTGACCTTGCCTGGAATATGTCCCCATGTCTGCTCTAAAAAATGCACAATGGACTCTTTGGAGAAAGAAGATAATTTTAAATTTTTTTTATTGTGTCTGTAAAGTTTGGCTTGTATCAAACCAACATTGTCATAGGACTCATTTCTCTCAGTTGTATTTAAAACTGTTGTGTGCTTTGTACAGAAGAATACTAGTCACACTTCTATAAACTACACAATAAAATTTCTTTCTGGTTTTGGGGGGCTGTCATTTAATTATCTTAGAAGATCATTCTCAGTGGGCGCAAAAATTGGTCCTTGGTGAGTGAAAAAAAAAAAAGTCTATGATGATGGTTTGTGACCCTTCAAGTTCAATCCTACTTGACTATGGTATAATGAGGAATTTGTCTGGTCTTTGTCCCTGGTTTCTGACAAACCCTTGGGCTTCCTGAGTGCTGGGAGTGTCCTTGTTATGCTAATGAGTTGACTCTTAGTGATCACCTAGATTGCCTTAGGGTAAAAGCTGGTCACCAGAAAGACCTTTAGGCCAGTTATATAGAGACTGAGGTCCTGTCACATTGCCTGTTTGATTTAATCAGCCATACCTGCATAGTGAAATGACAATTCAGAGCTCTGGGGACAAACCAGGCATGGTGGTACATGCCTATAATCTCAGCACTCTGGCGGTTGAAGCAGGAGTATGAATGTGAATTTGAGGCCAGCCTGGACCACATAGCCCGGCAAAAAAAAAACTCTAGACATGGAAGCTCTGCATCACCTTGCAGACCTCCCTTATGTCTTCATTTGTCTGGCCTAATTTGTATCCTTTGTAATAAAACTGTGAGTTCTGTATGTCTTTTAGCAAATTCTTGAGCCAAGAGATTCATGGAACCCCAAATTTGCAGTTACTAAGAAGTGACTCAGAGACCTCATTTGTGATCTGCATCTTGAAATGGGGGTGGTCTTGTAGAGAAGGCCTCAGCCCTAAATCTGTGGAGTCTGACACTAACTCTGGGCAGTTAGTGTCGGAATTGAATTGTGAACAGCTGGGCACATTTGTAATCCCAAGATCTAAGGCAGGAGGATTGTGAGTTCAAGGCCATATTAGGTTACATAATGAGGCACTGTCCCAAAAGGGGGGGAAAAAAAAGCAGTATCTAGTTGATACTGTCAAGAAATTTTAATGTTTTTTGTTAAAGAATAATTTTGTCTTAATTTAAATTTTTCTCAAAGGAATGAAATTACAATGAACAAAGCCAAATGGGTGGATATGATTGAAAAATCACTCTACTGATTGCTTGTAGCAATGGGTTTTAGCGGGGAGGTAGGAGTTGCAGTTTATTTCTTGTTCTGTTTTGTGATTTTTAAAATTACTTTATGGTGGGAAGTTACAGGGTTTCACTGATGCATCTGAGTAACTCTGACCATTCATGCTGTCTTTGCAAGGAGTGGAGAAGTATGGAGTAGATTCTTAAATGTGCTGCACCAGGTTAAGACTGGCAGGAGGGGCTGGCAGAGTAGCTCAAGTTGTAGATGCTTGCCTAGCAAGCATGAGGCCCTGAGTTCTAACCTACTGCCAAAAATAAATAAGCTCAAAAAATATACATAAAATTAATAGGCCCAGGAACTCAGATGCACAAAGAGAAGGTGGTAGTTTATAAAATAAGTATGTGAGGACACTAGAAGGTAAGGGCTAACCACTAAATGAACACAAACTACCTTTTGCAGTGTTCTACTTTTATTTGCCCCCCCAAAACACCTGAAAACAAACGCACAACCATCTAGTGAAACCTTCCAGATGTTGACCCTTTCCAGGGTTTGTTTTGTTTTTTGGCAGCACTGGGGTTTGAACTCAGGGCCTCACGCTTGCAAGGCAGGCACTCTTACCACTTGAGCCACTTTGCCAGCTCAAAGGTAAGTTTTTAACATTTTAAAGTTAGCTAACATTTGGTCTCTATTGGGATAAACTCCAGTTATCTAGAAAATGTCATTCCTGTAGGGTAAAAGTCCTAATGGTACCAGGTAATAAAGTAGCCATACCTGGGGAATTTAAGACATCCTATTGTACTATGTTTAAGGGAGAAAAAGTACTAGTTTCTGTGTGAATTACCCTTGGTGGATGGTTTATTTGGGGGCATCTCAAGCGTGGCCTATCAGCAACTTTTTTCTTTCCAATTTACAGGAGCTTTGAAAATAGATTAACTCCCATATACCTTTCCTCAATTTGCCATTTTACCATTTGTTTTATGTATGCATAGGTATTTTTACATATCCATGTGAGTAATAGCTTGTTACTTCTCTTAAGCCTCAAATACTGAAGAGTATTTCTGTCTAGAACATGGATTTTAGTTCTAGAGAGATCTGAGATTGGTGATGTTAACTTTTATCATTAGATAGGATCCATCACTTTTTTTTCAGCTTTCTTAAATTGTTTAAAATTGTACTAAAAAATACATAACAAAGTTTACCATCATTTTAAAATGTACAGTTTAGTAGCATTCAGTGGATTCATGTTTTACAACCATCACTATTGCTGTCCATCTCCAGAAATCTTCATCTTGTAAAACTGCCCACTAAACAACCCCCTGTTCTCCCTATCTCTTGACAACTGCCATTCTACTTTCTGTCTCTGATTTTGACTATTACAGGTATCTATTTTTTTTTTTTTTGTGGTACTGGAGCTTGAACTCAGGACCTACACCTTGAGCCACTCCACCAGCCCTTTTTTTGTGATGGTTTTTTTTTGAAATAGGGTCTCGATAACCATTTGCCCGGACTGGGACTGGCTTCGAACCATGATTCTCCTGATCTCTGTCTCCTGAAAAGCTAGAATTACAGGTGTGAGCCACTGGCACCTGGCACGATTATTTTCTATTTTGCATAACAACCTACCTTTATATGTTATGGTGTTAGTAACTTACTCTATACATGGTTTGCAAATAGTTTCTTCCATTCTGTTAGTTGCCTTTTCACTTGATTGTATCCTTTTAAATGCAAGTAATTTTAATTTTTATGTAGTTCATGTTGGTATTATTTTTGGTATTGTGAAATCCAGTCTTTCTGTTTTCTTCTGAGAGTTTCAGAGCTTTTATGGTTTTCTTATGGTTGGGTCTTTAATCCATTTTGAGATAATTTTTACATATTGTGTAAGATAAGGGTCTTTCATCCTTTTGAATGTGGATATCCAGTTTTCCAGCACAATTTGTTGAAGAGATTGCCCGTTACCCATTGAATGGTCTTGGCTCTCTTCCCAAAACTCATTTGATAATATATGTGAGGGCTTTTATCTGTGCTTGTTCTATTCCATTGTTCTTTGTCCCCACTATGACACCTCATTACTGAAGAAGCTTTGCAGTAAGTTCTGAAGTCAGGAAATGTGAGTCCTCTGTTTTTATTGTGTGTTTGGTTTTCCCTTCAAGATTGCTAGGCTATTTGGAGTTCCTTGATATTTCATATAAACTATTTTTGCAGTAAGCCTTGTGATTTTGATATGGATTGCAATATTTTTGGGTAATACTGACATCTTAACTATAATGTCTTCAGTCCATAAACACACGAAGTCTTTCTATGAACTGGTGTCATCTACTTTCTTTCAGTAGTGTTTTCAGTATATAACTCTTTAGCCTTCTTGGTTAAAGTTTGTTCAGTATTTTATTATTTTGATACGATTGTAAATTGAGTATTTTCTTAATTTCCTTTTAGGTTTGTTTATTAGCATCTACACATAGAACTTATTTTTGTGTGTTCATTTTGCATCTTGAAATTTTACTGAATTTGTTTAACAGTTTTGTTGGAGAGGTTGTTTGGGTTTTTTGTTTGTTGGTTTGTTTGTAGAATTTTTAGACATTTCTGAGTTTTACATCATATCATCTGCAAATGTAATTTTACTTCTTTTTCAATTTGAATGCCTTTTATTTCCTTTTCTTGCCTAATTGGTCTGATTAGGATTTCTAGGGCAACACAGTACAAGTGATGAAACTAGCCATCCTTGTCTTATTCCCGATGTTAGAGAAAAGATTTTCAGTCTTTCATCATTGAAGATGATGTTAACTGTGGGCTTTTCTTACATGGCTTTTATGTTGTTGACTTTCCTTCTATTCCTATCTTGTTGAATGTTTTTATCATAAAAGGATGCTGAATTTTGTCAGGTGCTTTTTTCTGTATCAGTTGAGGTATTTTCCTTCATTCAGTTAATGTGTAGTATGTTGATTTTTGTTATATTTAATCCTTCAACTCTGGGAGCAGATCCTTTTGGGTCATGGTGTATAGTCCTTTAGATGTGGTGTTGAATTCTGTTTGCTAGTATTTTGTTGAGGATTTTTACAATATACATCAAGGACTGGTCTGTAGCTTTCTTCTAGTGTCTGTCTGGCTTTGGTATCAGGGTTATGTTGACCTAATACTTTGTAAGTGCACCCTCCGTTTCAGTTTTTCAAATGTTTTGAGGTGGATTGGTGTTAATTCTTTAAATGTTTGGTAGACTTCACCAATAAAGCCATCTGGTTCTGGACTTTTCTTTGGGAGGTTTTTGATAATGATGCAATCTTCTTACTAGTTATAATATATCTGTTTAGATTTCTAGTTCTTCAGTTGGTAGGTTGTGTTTCTGGGAATTTATCCATTTTACCTATGTTATCCAATTTGATGATACACAGTTGTACATAGTACTCTATAGTCCTTTTTATTTCTGTAAATCTGGGCATAATAATGTCCTCTCTTTAATTTCCAATTTTAGTTATTTGAATCCCCCATGTCCTTTCTTTTTCCTTAGTCAGTCTGTCAGTTTTGTTGAACTTTCTAAGGAACCAACTCTTTGTTTCCTTTATTTTTCTGTTTTTCTGTTCTGTTTATCGCTAATCTTTATAATTTCTTTCCTTCTGCTTGCTTTGTGTTTAGTTTGTTGTCTAGTTTCTTAAGGTATGAAGTTAAGTTATTGATTTGAAATCTTTTCTAATGTAAGCCTTTTTTAGCTATAAATCTGTCTTAGTATTGCTTTAGTTGCATCCTGTAAGTTTTGGTATTGTGGGGTTTTTTTGTTTTGTTTTTTTCCTCACTTATCTCAGTGTATTTGCTAATTTCCCTTGTGATATCTTTAAGAATGTACTGTTTACAGCTGGATGTGGTGGCACAGGCCTGAAATCTCAGCACTCAGGAGGCTGAGGTGTGAGGATCACGAGTTGGAGTGCAGCCTGCCACATAGTGTGACCCTGACTCAAAAAATCAAAACAAAACTGTTCTGTTTACTTTACACATATATGTGAATTTTCTAGTTCTGTTGGTTTCTAATTTCAATCCATTGTGACTAGAAAGATACTTTATATAATTTAAGTATTTTTAAATATACTGAGACTCATTTTGTGGCCTAATATATCCCAAGAAATGTTCCATGTACACTTGAGAAAGATGTGTGTTCTGCTTATCACTGAGTGGTACATTCCATGTATATATGTTATGTCCCGATAGTCTATGGTATTGTTCAAGTCCTCTATTTCCTTATTGACTTTCTGTCTTGCTGTTTTACCTGTAATTGAACTGGGGTATTGAAACCTCATACTATTATAAAGCTGTCTATTTCTCCCTTCAGTTATGTCAATATATGCTTCATATACTCAAGAGATATGGTATTTGGTGCATATATGTTTATAATTGTTACATCTAATTGACAAATTGACCTTTTTTCATTATATAATATTTTTTGTCTTTTCTAACAGCTTTCAACCTAGTCTTTTTTTTTTTTTTTTTTTGTCTGATACCAATATAGCCACTACTGCTTTTCTGGTTACTGTTTGCATAGAATATGTTTTTCATTCTTCCATTGTTAACATACGTGTACTTAGGTCTCAAGTGAGGATATAATTGGATGTTTTTAGTCTGTTCTGCCAAACTTTTATTTGGCAATTAAATCAATTTACATATAAAGTAATTACTGATAGGAAAAGGCCTACTTTTGCCACTTTGTTTTCAGTTTGTCTTACTAGCTTTTTTTGCCTGTGGATTCCTCCTTTTCCTACATTCCTTTGTGTTGATTTTTTTTTTAATAGTAGCATGTTTAATTGCCTTTCTCATTTGCTTCTGTGTATATTCTCTTTATGGTTACCATAAGGCTTACATAAAACATCTGAATGGTATTTTAAACTGGTAACTTCAATCACAAATCTCCTGCTCTCTGTAGCTCTGTTATCCATGTCACAAATTACATCTTTATATATCATGTACTCACTAACATAGATTTATAAATTTTTATGCTTTTCTATTTTAAATCCTGTAAAAGAATAAAAGGTAGAGTTGTGAACCATAATTACAATAATGTTTGTTGTGTTTGTCTTTGTGTTTACCTTTATAGGAAATTTTTATTATTGTATTCCTCAGTCTCTCTCTAGTGTCCTTTCTTTACAATTTGAAGAACTCTCCTTCAGCATTTCTTGTAGGGCAGATCTAGTGGTAATGAAATTCCTCCACTTTTCTTTACTTAGGAATGTCTTAATTTCTCCCTCATTTTTGAAGGACAGTTTTGCTAGGTATAGAACTCTTGGGTGGCACTCCCCTCCCTTCTTAGTTGAAATACATCATCTTATTGCCATCTGGCCTGTAAGATTTCTGCTGTGCTTGTTAAAAAAAAATACAATTTTGTAGGGGAGCATTGAATTAACCACTGTTTCCAAGTTGACTTTCCCCTCCCACCTTCATACTGTCCCCCTAGGGCAGGTAGAAGCTCCACCACTGCCTCTTCCTGTGCTCTTCACCTTTCATGGTCAGAAAAAGAAGGAAAAAAATGCAAGGAGAGAGGTTCCGTATGAATGGGGCCCGGGGCAGCTAGATTTTCCTTGTTTGACTAGATGGCAATGGCAGAAGTACTATGTTAAATTCACTGTGGAACAGGTAGAGTATAGAGAGATAAATGCATGCTACCTGGATAGGTCAGGATTGCAAAGATGCTGGAGAGTCCTAAGAGGACACATTGCATAGTGTGGTTGCAAAAACACCTGGGTGTCTGTAGAGTCAAGGTCTCAAGTTGACTGACATTGGTACTATGACGCTATAGACATGTACTTCGTATGTTGGTCAGTTTGGAAGAAAATAAGAATGTCACAGGATTATCTGTGTGCCTTGTTTTAAGCAAGCTGGATACATAAAAATAAAGCCTTTACCAAAACATGGGGGTGATGATTTTAAAAGGATCCACCAGGAGATTTTTTTTTTA